AATTTTAAATTAAAACAGAGTTTTTAAGCTTCGACGTTTGTTCAAGTTGATGAATATGATAAGTGAGGAATATATAAAGCATATCATTTGGAATAAATTAATAGGCAGCGTATGTAAGTTGTGTGTGTACAGTCGATAAACAATGTGGTGCTACCTCCTTAATATTTAATCTTACGTGAACTAATAAAATATATTCATTGCGGATTTTAGTATTATGAAGAATTTTAAGTAAACAAAATAATTGATTTTTGTAGTTTAAACGGAGCAGAGGTGTGATTACAGCGGCATTGACGACTTTATTTTGGATAAAGAACGGAGTTTGGTGGTGATCTCTTTAACAGGAAAGTTTATAATAAAATGAAGTTTCGGTGTTGGCGTTAATCATTACGGGTACAATAAAGGAGAAGAGGAAAATGGCAGTGTGAAGACATTTCACGAGGTGAAATATTCCCAACATTTAGCACAGTATTGTGGATCATTTAAAAACAATCAATTTTAATAATAGATATCCAAAATACATTTTAAAATTTTATAGGTATGGTATAATTCGGTACCAACGGAAAATATGCACAAATTAAATGCATTTGCTTGTAGCTTCAAACCATTAAAAAAATCGAATATTTATATTCTGTAACATTAAACTGCATTCTGTAGGTATGGTATAATTCGGTACCAACGGAAAATATGCACAAATTAAATGCGTTTTCTTGTAGCTTCAAACCATTAAAAAAAATCGAATATTTATATTCCGTAACATTAAACTGCATTCTACTGTGAATAATCATTTTAACGACGAATAAACGGTATTTATTTTCACCTTCTACCGTATCAAAGTCAAAATTAGACCTATTTGACAAGAAATTCCAAGTAATGACACTACAAAATGTATACCAAATACTTATCTTTACTATCGCGACTAATTTATAGCAAAAATTCGACGTGTATGCTATATATCGCCAATATGAAATTAAAATTAAAATTTACCACTCATCTAGTATTATCCAAAAATGGGCCTTGGAACGGCTCCTAATGAACATGAGTATTATTTCAGAACGGTTTAGTTGAGATTACTGTGGTATTGTTAAATGTTATTGTTATGCGTATGTTTATTTGATTTTACGTGTTTAAATTCGGTGGCAAGTTTTATTCTTCTGAATGCACTTATCAAACAGTAAAATATTCAAAAATTCCTGGATACCGAGCAAGCTATCACATATATTCAGTATTCATGTATTATTATCAAATCATATTTCAAATAATTATGTGTTTGCTTCTCGTGTGCAGATTTGATATAAATACGTATATGCGATTTCGTCTTGCATAAAACATTTTGGACAACGCTGTAATGTTTGTCTACATCCATTATTTTCTATGGAAACAATGCTACGAAGGTCATATCTCGTCTTTTATTGACTACATACTGTATTCATATATTATTATTATTATTATTATAGAATCAGTTTCGAGATATTTCTTATTTGGGTAGTGATCACGTAATGCACGAAAGGTGTGAAATTAAGTTTTGGGTTCTTGAGTTCGGCTTCGATGTTCAATTTCATGTGACTGCTGTAGGGCTGCTATCGAAATGAATAGTAAATGTTTATTTTCAAAACAAAATGTTCTGTTATGACAAAATTTGCAAAATTGCATAGCAGATATTTCCCTTAAAACTTCGTTACAAATGTTTTACAGCGTACACGACTCCGAAACTTAAAATAATACGGAAGACGAACAGTATTTCAGATATTTAGATTCTTTGTTAAGAGATTCTTAATTATGATGTTTGATCGTCTGTCTCAGTTCAAAACTGAGGATATTCTAATTAGGCACTTCAAAGAATACAAAGTATATGAAAAGGAATACGTATTTCCTGAGGCTTTGGGTTATTTAAGCAAGGAACATGGAACTTAATTTTACAAGTGAATAGTGATGTTTAACATGAAAGTGGCTTGTACACCCACGATAGGCGGATGCTGTGAATATAATGTGGGATGGTAATTTATGAATTACTGAGATGGAACCGAAACGGAAACATATGTTAAATACATCTCGGACAAGAATATTTGTTTAATTTACCAGTGACTTTAGTAACATGCCATTGTTGTGTTCACAAGAAATACTAATAACAGACGCACATTCCGTATATAATGATACGAATATTTGCAAGGAAACTTCATTGTGTGAATTCTTTTTGGTCATTTTGTCTGTATTTATGCTCTAAGACTATTATAATGGCATTCTTCCCGCCTAATGAAACAATCTTCACTCATTTTCAAAAAAAAACTGTACTTTTTAAAATATTGTACGTAATAGTTACTTCGCAAATGCCTTGGCACAAGTGAAATGTAATACTTCCTTATATCTGAGTTAGTTTATACTGATTTCGAAATATTGTAGCCCACATTATTTTGAGTAGAAAATATTCCACATTACTGTCAATATGATCGTACGACTCAGTACTGAAATCATGTTTATACGAAATAAAAACAATATTTTAAATACGTGCACATATATATATATATATATACTCCGATAACGTTCCTATAGGTAAAAATAAACAATGAAACTGCGGTATCTCAACATGTGCAGCCATCTTTCCGCGAAAAAGCATAGTTGCGGCGGTGTTTGTTAAAGTAATTTATTTTTCTTTACAGAAACGGATATGCTCACTCACTAAATAACGTGCTGGTATTTTGAAATTATTTGTTTGTATTAAGTAAAATGTTATTGGTGTATAAATGCGGGGTTCTGGACAATCTCGGCAACGGTTTCTTGAAATAAGAATATACCTATATATATTTTATATTAAAATATCATCGTCAATAGAATGAGAGGTACACATTGTGTTACGTCATTTGATGTCATAATTTTATTCTTTTTAAGTGAGATTCAATTATGACATTTGTTAACATGTGTTGACACAATGTGTCAATGTTTTGGACATACGAGAGGAAAGTAAAATATTCTTAAACATGATAATAGTTATAATTTCTCCGATTAACTGTATTACAGTATAAAGCCTCCGGAAAAATTAGCCAATATATTTTTGAATAATGTTCATTTCCATAAAAGTTTAATTAAAACTTTCAAAATTAACATCTGGATGACGGTGGACAGGAGATTTCTTTCGATCCAGCAGCAAATTATTTGTTATTGAACTATTTCGGAGAATTTTGTTTCTCTTGAACTAGAAAGACCAGAATATTCACATCACATTGGACCTTGTTCGGAGTATGTTTGATCCAGTTAATGCCTTTGCAAATGTATCTTATTATTAATTTTAATACTTTCTCCCATCTACACAAAGATCTCAAAAATGAAATTTTCCTTGTGGGTCTCCAATAAAAATTATGCATGCATTTCTTATATCCCTCATGCCATTTACACAGAAATAGATCCAGTTTCATAGGTATGTATGTAATTCTTAGGACTGAACCTTCTGTTAATACTTTTGTTAGTACGACGAACGATCCCGTGAATTACCAAATTAAATATAGATTTATATTAAAATAAGCACCTTATACAATTACAGATATGATTTATTATATAAATTTTCAGATTACGGAAAATAAATATGTGCGATATTTACATCAAAAATTTAAGAAATGTATCGAGAAACTATACGATCATATTATCAGTATCATGTTTAATATGTTACCATATTTTTGTCCAGAATGAATCGATATTTCTCAGCTATTTACCAAATAGTTGTCCCCCTTCTGTGAAGGGTCGTTTTAATTGTAAAGAATGTACTCTATTACATATATATATAACCGTTGTGACAAGAGGAAGAATAAGAATTTATACAGAATTCATGTTAACCTGTTTAACGTATTAATAATGAAGATTGAGGTTTTATGAAATAATATTGTGATAATAAAATTATATGAAACATTTTGTATAACGTAGACAAATCTGTTCTTACCTTTTATGTCTTCATCTTCCTCAGCTCTACAACCCAGTGTGGGTTTTAGCCGCCTCCTTTTTGAGGTTCATTAGTCTTTTGAAGTGTGCGTTTGAGAGTAGTGAGTGACCAGTACAATTTCTACTCAATCCCGATTTTGTCTGCTAGAGTCATCTAGTTGAGCATGTTAACAGGGAGTGGGGATTCATCTTCTAATATCCACCTTCCGGCGAAGTGGTCCTAAACAGAAATATATTTAAAATTAAAGAATATAGGAATGGATTAAATTTATGTCAAGTAATATTTTACGTACGGGTGAGAGGCTATATAACACGGGTAGTTCCAGTGACTCTCCAATCAGATCTGAATGTGTTATACATCTTTTAGATTAAAAACATTGTTGAATCATGCTTCTTCGTCTGATAAGCGCTTGACAATACATCGAAACTTGAAACATCTATCCGTATTGCCATCATTAGCAGTCATAAGAAATATTTTATATCGTACCCATCGGAAATGACGTAAAGAGCGCAAGCGAAAGTTTTGTGTACTCTACAGTGTGCACCCATCCAATTTTGTTTT